TAATCGAAAGTAGCAAGTCGTGGTTGGTGTGTCATGCTTTATTTCCTTTCCCAACCATCAAGTGCCATGGCAAAACAAGTGGTTTGTTTTGAATGCATCTTTACTGTTTTCATCCATGGCATAAACTATTGGCTATATTTTTTTAAAAGAAATAAGCCCTCCAATGCGTCCCTCCCTAACTTCCTGTTTCAGTATCGCAAATAAGGCTGGGTATTTGTGCAGATTTCACAATTAGTTTTGATTCTGGTCTTTACTCGATTTGCTATCAATTCATTTGAATATATCAGGTACAGAGGGAACAATATGGGGAATAAACTACAGGGAACCCTGTCAGTTGGTACATTACTATATAATATTTAAAATAACCAAACTATTAAATTCAATTGCAATTTATTTTTATAATAAACACTTAAAAATATATATTTAAACATTTAAATTGCACATAAGGCAATTCATTCATTCATTCATTCATGCAAGAGCTAATAATTGACAGAATTAGAATTTGACAGACTCATATCGAAAGTTACAATATTGAATATTTAAGAAACACGATTGTGATTGTTAAAATGAGGATCGATTACAATCGATTAATTTATATTGTCAATCCAGAGCAGATAGGAAATACATCAAAATCCACTCACCAAACAATTTCAATTTTTGTTTCTGTTTTGCTGAGAAACTGAGAAAATCTGTCAGTCTGACTGAGAAAAGGATTACCCTGTGGGGGAAAATCAGTGTTTAGCATACAAATGTCCCATGCCCTTGAGCTAATTTGACATTTTCTGGACAGATGTTGTTCTGAAAAGTTCTCTAATATGCTTGCAGAATGATGACTTGAGCATTCAGCCTGCGGTACTCATCCATTAGCATTTCCACTCTGTGTATGTTATCTTTGGCTACACCTAGTGTGCACTTAACAGTTAAAGAATGATTTATAAATGTCATAGGGTGTCATTTTTATTGTGACTGGTAAAAGTGGAGAAGCAGCAGCATGACCAATCAATTTTTCTCAGTAACAGCAGTTGTCAAATTAGATTTGTGTTGTTAGAGCTGATTACAAGCACTCCTCATACAGATCTATAATGCTTTGTGCTCTGGGCAGGATTGAGCAGGAAGGAGAAGGGGGAGCGAGGGAGGAGGCGCTGTTGAGTATGCGGTCACCTGGGGCGGCAGTGATCAACTGAAGAGAGGGGTTTTGATCGATATCGCTGAGGGGCAGAAATGCGATAAGTTCCACTGATAATTCTCTCCGCACGGCGTCAAAAGTCCCATTCATACTGTATGCTATAAACTATAGTATTCTGCAACATATTTTACTCACGGATAACAAAAAACAGACATGCTCAATGAGTGCTACCCACCGTACGTGTACTTTCAATTGCACACTCGTGGTGCATAAATATTTACATTTACATTTAGTCATTTAGCAGATGCTTTTATCCAAAGCTAAATACAAATGGGGACAATAGAAGCAATCAAAATCAACAAAAGAGCAATGATATACAAGTGCTATGACAAGTCTAAGTTAGCCTAACACAGTACAAGTAGCAAGTTTTTTTTTTCCTTCCCAAATATACTGTTCATGCTAATTTACTGGCTGGTATTTCACATTTTGGTATTATCAGTGATGATAATTGTCCACACTTCAAAGTTCACTGACCTCAAGGTTAGATTATTGTAATGCTTTATTGGGTGGTTGTTCTGCACGCTTAATAAACAAACTCCAGCTGGTCCAAATGCAGCAGCTAGAGTTCTTACTAGAACCAGGAAGTACGACCATATTAGCCCAGTTCTGTCAACACTGCACTGGCTCCATATTAAACATCGTATAGATTTTAAAATCTTGCTTATTACTTATAAAGCCCTGAATGGTTTAGCAGTATTTGAATGAGCTCTTATTGCATTATAGTCCTCCACGTCCACTGCGTTCTCAAAACTCTGGCAATTTGATAATACCTATAATATCAAAATCAACTGCGGGCGGCAGATCCTTTTCCTTTTTAGCGCCCAAACTCTGGAATAATCTACCTAACATTTTTCGGGAGGCAGGCACACTCTGTCAGCTTATATCTAGATTAAAGACCAATCTCTTTAACCTGGCTTACACATAACACACGGACAAATTTCTAATATTCAAATCCGTTAAAGGATTGTTAGGCTGCATTAATTAGGAAACCGGGAACACTTCCCATAACACCCGATGTACTTGCTACATCGTTAGAAGAATGGCATCTACGCTAATATTAGTCTGTTTCGCTCTTATTCCGAGGTCACCGTAGCCACCAGATCCAGTCTGAATCCAGATCAGATGGTCACTGCAGTCACCCGGATCCAGTACGTATTCAGACCAGATGGTGGATCAGCACCTAGAGATGACCTCTACAGCCCTGAATGTCAGCGGAGATCAGGACAACTAGATGAGCCCCAGATACAGATCCCCTGTAAAGACCTTGTCTCAGACGGCCACCGGGACAAGACCACAGGAGCCAGATGAGTCCTCTGCACAATGTGACTTTGCTGCAGCCTGGAATTGAACTGCTGGTTTCATCTGGCCAGAGGAGAACTGGCCCCCCGACTGAGCCTGGTTTCTCCCAAGGTTTTTTCTCCATTCTGTCACCGATGGAGTTTTGGTTCCTTGCCGCTGTCGCCTCTGGCTTGCTTAGTTGGGGACACTTCATTTCCAGCGATATCGTCGACTTGATTGCACAGACACTATTTAAACTTAACTGAGCTGGATGATGACATCACTGAATTCAATGATGAACTGCCTTTAACTGAAAAATGAGTGATTACTATTATCATTTTGCATTACTAACAAACTATTTTCCTAATTAATGCTGTACAGTTGCTTTGACATAATCTGTATTGTTAAAAGCGCTATATAAATAAAGGCGACTTGACTTGACACTTGTTACCTACTCATAGTGTCAGTTTTCTACTAACAACATTGTCAGTGAATGATCTGGACATTCATTCTTTCGTGTATTTATTTATTTATTTATTTATTTTGTGATTCCTCTGAATTTTAAGTAAAAATGGTATAAAATAAACCTATTCACAGAGATGTCGTGCACCTGATCACCATCTATTTTCACTGCATGGAAAAGAGCAGCTTTAACATTTGGTTCTATAGTAAAGAAAAAATCATATGTATTTGAGCTACATGAATGTGGGTAGATGATGACATAATTTTGTATTTAATGCAAATGATCTGCAGGAGGTGTAAATTTATTCAGCTCACCAAATTTATAAATGTAATTCCTGCCAATTTTTTTGTTTCATTTAAATGGCCATGACACTTTTGTCTATTAAAAGGCACCTATTATGCTTTTTTTTTTATTTGACCTTTCCTTTAGTGTGTCTGCACATGTAAATGATCTGCAATGTTACAAAACACAAAATCCACACCAAAAGGAGTTCATCTCTCAAACAGAAAATAATTACACTTTAGAATAATGATCCATCAATAATAGGTAACTATGCAGGAAGTAATGCAGGACAAATGAGTAGTACAACCTTAAGCTAACCAATCAGTACATGATAGCGAATTTAGGACTGAGTTTGCTACATATTAGGTAATCAATAATTACTAAATTAGATTAAACTCATTACGAACTATTAAAGATGCACTATGCAGGATTTTTGCACACAGTCCAACCAAGAGCAGCATCACATAGGACAGAGAAGATGAATGATGATGTGCATTGCAAATATTTTTTCAAATATTGTGTTCATCATGCATGAATGACATTTTTTTATTTGTATATGAATGAATAGTTATGCTAATAATTAGATGACTGGCTGTAATTTGCAAGCGAGTTTAGTCATCTTCTAGCTTGCTAATAAACAATAATTATGTGTCATCATAGACACGTAATTACAATGCATAGTAATTTGTCGAGTTACAGATATCAGTAAATAAGACAACATTAGGATGCATATTGTTCTGAACAAGAGAACATTATTTTTTTTGTCCACCATGGGCTGTTCCTAGTGTAACAAACAGTTCAATAACTGTTGCATAAAATTAATATCATGTTCATGTTGATTTTTAGAAAAACAGCACTCTTGCTTATCTTCCTATACCATATGTTGTGTGTGTGCATTTGTATATATATTTCTGTCATGACAACTCTCGGAGGGATTGGCTTGGTAATGTACATGACAATGTTAATTTATTTGGTCTTGGCGGAATAGATCTGCTACGCTGCTGCGGCAGAGCAAGTACCGAGACTTGCTACTGCCAATACATCCACAACATGCTGCTGTGGGCATGTAAGAAATATTGCTGCTGCAAATATAACATACATGAAATAACCCCCATATAGCATACATGAATCACCTCGTAGCAGATCTATACAGGTGGAGCTGGGGTTTGTATATATATTTCTGTCATGACAACTCTCGGAGGGATTGGCATGGTAATGTACATGACAATGTTAATTTATTTGGTCTTGGCGGAATAGATCTGCTACGCTGCTGCGGCAGAGCAAGTACCGAGACTTGCTACTGCCAATACATCCACAACATGCTGCTGTGGGCATGTAAGAAATATTGCTGCTGCAAATATAACATACATGAAATAACCCCCATATAGCATACATGAATCACCTCGTAGCAGATCTATACAGGTGGAGCTGGGGAAGGTGAAGGGTTTCTGAAGCAAGCTGCAACTGCTACGGTAAGCCCTAGTCATATATTTGAATGCTAAGCAGCGAGCTCATTGGCTACTGATATAGGAGGGAACCAATCAGCTGTGCCATGTGATAATTATGTCATTAGGTCAGATTGAGTTAGACCTATCGGACTGCGCCATCTAGAGTTTCATGCCAGAACTCTGTATATATATATATATATTTATTTTTTGTTTGTTTTTTTCAGGGTCCCATTCTAGCCTATTGTTAAGTAAAGAAAATAAGCTTGGATTTGTCAATTAAAAATCAGTTGCCATCGTGCATCACACAATCACATATTGACCCATGCCCCAGACTTTGCATGTTGTAAGTTAGGCACTTACCCAGTTTTGGCAAAGTTTGTCCAGTAGGTCATGACAACAGCACTAAGCATGACATCATTTTTGGAGAAGTTGCAGGGGAAGAGGTCAGTCGGGCCAATCATGGGAATGCCAAAGACGTAGGGCACCTCATCTCCGTGGGCCGCATCTGACCAAGCGGGTTTCATCAGGCTCTGGCAGTGGTGGTAGAAGGCGTAGAAGTACGTGGGCGACCCATAGCGGGCGTGAAGATCTGCCGTCACCACCGAGGGCTCCACCCACTGATGATCGGTGAAAAGCGCCACTAGAGTCTTACGGCGCGTCTCAGGGTTGTCTCTATCTGCCCAGTCCGTGTACATGAACTTAATGGTTTCTCGTAGGGTATCCTTTCCCTCTGGGTAACCATAAAGACTGTCCACAAAGTCAGAGACCGAGAAGTCGAAATCATTGCCCGAGACGCCATCTTCAGAGTCCACAACGTTCTCCACAAAGCGCAGCCCCTCACCCTGGTTAACACCCAGCATGATGTCATAGTTGAGGAACTCGCCCTGCTCCATCAGGATCTCAGGGTCGTCGGGAATGACATCGCCGTCAATGACTGGGCCAAAGGCGACGTGGTATCTCGCTGGCTGGATGTCTTGTTCCACCAGCTCACGAGCGCTCTTCTTTCTCAGGCAGTCTACCATGTCTAGTGTGTCCAGCACATTACAGCCCACTTTCTCTGCCAGCAGCCTTGTGTATTTAACTGGCTGGTAGTTGACGGCCCAGCTGGACAATGCTGAGCCACTCTGGATTATGGCACGATGAAACAGTCCTGCAGCAAGAGGAGACAAAATAAATGCATTTTAAACAATGCTTCACATCAGGAATAAATGAATATAAAGCAGGACTGGGAGTTTAATGTTTTCAGCATAGTTTGATTAAAGGAATAGTTCTATTCTGTGCCTCATTTAGTGTGATGTATAGTGTTATCATGAAAATGAATGTCTTAATCTACCACATAATTTGAAAAAAGCTCTAGATGGACAAATTAACCACTTCCCTTTCTTTGCATTGTAAGTTAGCTTTCGCTAAGGTAGCTAATTGCTTAGTTTACATTTACATTTAGTCTGTTTTTGGGAAGGTTACAGCTTTGGTGTTACAACATATTGTTTCAGAAATGCAAACAATTAAAGATTTAAATTTAAACTTTATCTTGTTGGTTTTATGTTGTTTAAGTTATCTTTAAGAAAATACATTTTTGTAAAAAGAAATGTGATTATTAAGTTAGTTTTAAGAAGAGGTCAATTGTCTTTCAAATGTAACATCTACCAATAAAATCATCACCTTCTGTCCAAAAGCAAAGTAGGCTACTCCAAACAGAATAACTGGAAAGGCTGTTTTGATTAGCTAGAACAAGATACCCTGATATACTCTTGATTAGGCATGACAAAAAGCTACCCCTTAGTAACTCTAATGGGGACTGAATCTTTTACAACCACAAAACAAACAATAAACACACATGTGGCTGCAGTGCATCATTGACCAACAGAGGTGACTTTACACAACCAAATCAAACAGCATTAGTTTTTCTCTTCAGTGTAAGTGAAATCACTTTCTATTCCACTATGCAGAATTCACTATAATGAATTAATGAATGAGCTTGTGAATCGGCTGTGTATATAGCACACCATGCAGTGTTCACTATAAGGAATGAGTGCAGGATTGGAGCAAACGAGAAAATCTGCCCACCAATCAGATTCATTGTATAGTGAAATAACTTTTAATGAGCTTTGCTGTTTACATAGGATGTGTTCTTAGGAGTCAAAAACAGATAAAACAGAGCCTAACATAATAAAACACAATGCACAGGTCTTGAGAATGCATTTAAACTTGATGCTGCGCACTTTAAAATGCAATGCTCATGGAGTAAGACTCTTAAAAAACAGCAACACAAGGTATCATATGACTCAATCATACATAGACCAATAATAATAAAATGCATGCAGGTTGAAGCAGGTATTTTGTATGAATGGCTCCAAAACCCTACATTTTGTTTAAACAAATTGGAATGTTGTGGATCGTAGGCCGGTGATGTGGAATTATCTGGAAATAAAAACAATATACTAAATTCTAAGGACACATTTTCTCTCTCTTTTTTTTTTTTTTTTTTACATATCTGCCACAATAATGTCTTTGAATTGTTTTCATTTATAGGGGCTTTTTCTAGCAAATTGATCTCACATAATCACGGCTGCCAAAGCAACACAGAACGCAGAATATGATTAAACCTAATCATTGCACAAACATAGGCACAGATGGCCAAGGGCCTGAGGAATGCAACATAATTTCATCCACTCCGCTGAAACGTTCACAGCTATACACCCACATTTGTGTCGAGATGTGTATCTGAATGTGCTGAGATCCAGGACTCCAGGACTTTTTAACCTGCGCATGTCAGCACTCGAACCTTTCCACACATCCTCTGTTCTCTACACTATTAAAAATAAAGGTGCTTCAAAAGGTTCTTCAAGTGATGCCATAGAAGAACCATTTTTAGTTCCACAAAGAACCATTCAGTCATAGGTTCTTTAAATAACCATATCTTTATTATCGTTTTATAATCTCAAGACCCTTTTTTCGCCACAAAGAACCTTTTGTGAAACAGAAAGGTTCTTCAGATGTTAAAGGTTCTTTATGGAACCATTTAGACAAAAAGGTTCTTCTATGGCATCGTGAAGCACCTTTATTTTTAAGAGTGTACAGCTTAGATCACCGATAAGAACATGCAAACGGAATCTAATTCTTCAACTACACTTACACTCCTACTCCTTCTTTATCAACAACAAAGAAGCCTGGGCTCAGCAGTGTGTAGGTTGTGCAACGTCCCACACATCCCAGCAGCGAGAACTTTTGGCCTCCCTCCCACCTTAATGACCGCTCAATATGACTATTGCCACCCCTCTGCAGCGTACACAGCTAGAGACTTAGAAATACCCAAGTGAGCTAGCATATGCATGCTGTTCAATGATTACGAATGCTTTGGAAATGTTTGAGAGATATAGTCGGGCTAGTGCGTGTTTGAGGGCTAAGAATCGCAGAGTCTAAAAAAGTAATTTTTCTCCTTTGTGCTCGTACCGGGTTTGTTTTTCTTGGAGACTCCCTGCTTCACCCTCCTTTGGGCACTTTCTTACCTGACTGCAAAATTGATCTGCAGCGAGGCTTTCCTTTGTTGGCCCACTACAACACTAAGGAAATTTACCCACTACTTAGGTTTCCTAATTTCCCCAAAGATAACATTCTGGAGGCCAAGCGATGAAGAGAATCCGAGGCAGTTGGAATATCCAGGACTCGCACCTTGCAGATGGGCAGGCTGTGATTTTTCCAATCCAACTAACCTGCGTAACCTTTCATTTTTGCAATTGCTCTTCTGTTGAAGCGGTTGGGGGAATGTGCTGGTGGTGTGCTGTCAGTGCTGGTAGACTGTTAACACCTGACACGTGTATTTGTGTGCGTGTCTGCGTCGGAGGCTGAGAATATCTGAGCTCTTCGCTCCACTGCAGGCGCTCAGGACAGGACAGTGGCCAGACTCCCAGGGCGAGGGAGCAGATGTCAAGGATATCGACTCTCTCTCCAAAGCATTCACAGGGTGGCTGGAGGATGAAAGATGGCCACCTGGGGCTCGGGAAGCCAAGACTCTATCTGTTTCCTTCCTCTCGTTCCAATGGCCCAGCTTTTCTGAGCTCTAAATATGCAGTATAAGTGCTAGGCAGAAATATTTAAATTCATGTATTTGAATTGCATATAACATTTCCATCCATTTGGATTACAGAGTTGATTCATGTCTACTGTGAAAACAGTGCAATGATCTACTAAATGCTACGCGATTTCTGCATGTCTCACAAATACTTTCCTCATAACTAACACAATGAAAACATGATGTAAATATAGGACTCACTGAGCAGAGTGATCTCTTTACTCTTTTTGCCTGTTCGGCAAAAAATCAGAAATCAAATCACTAATAGACTTGCGCTGATCTTGAATAGACTGCTCCAGCGATTATGAAGAGAGCGATCTTTGATCTCTTTTTGTGTATCGAATAATCACAATATAGAGAAATGAATATAGAGTAAACCACTATGTGACAAAGAACATCTGTATATAAGCCCTTATGTATTACACCGATCATAGGTCATGCTGCTCATGAAATGCATTTTGCATTTAGATTTTTATATTGTGTTTCTCAAGGTTAGTTTATAAAGCTTGCAAGTTTTTTTTCCAGCAAAAAAGGTATTTTGTTACCTGATGGCAGTATCGCTCTTGTGATTAATGAACTAACATGAATTGTGCAGAACACACCATATGTGACCCTGGAGCACAAAAACAGTCTTAAGTCGCTGGGGTATATTTGTAGCAACAGCCAAAAATACATTGTATGGGTCAAAATGATCGATTTTTCTTTTATGCCAAAAATCATTAGGATATTAAGTAAAGATCATGTTCCATGAAGATATTTTGTAAATTTCCTACCATAAATATATCAAAACTTAATTTGTGATTAGTAATATGCATTGCTAAGAACTTAATTTGGACAACTTTAAAGGCAATTTTCTCAATATTCTGATGTTTTTGCACCCTCAGATTCCAGACATTCAAATAGTTGTATCTCGGCCAAATATTGTCCTAGCCTAACAAACCATACATCAATGGAAAGATTATTTATTCAGCTTTCATATAACGTATATTTTTTCTCAATTTTAAAAAATGGACCCTTATGACTGGTTTTGTGGTCCAGGGTCACATATAAGGAAATCAAATCATGATGTCATGATATCCCTAAATTCAAATCTTGGACTTTCAGAAGGACAGGGTGGCTGGAGGATGAAAGATGGCCACCTGGGGCTCGGGAAGCCAAGACTCTATCTGTTTCCTTCCTCTCGTTCCAATGGCCCAGCTTTTCTGAGCTCTAAATATGCAGTATAAGTGCTAGGCAGAAATATTTAAATTCATGTATTTGAATTGCATATAACATTTCCATCCATTTGGATTACAGAGTTGATTCATGTCTACTGTGAAAACAGTGCAATGATCTACTAAATGCTACGCGATTTCTGCATGTCTCACAAATACTTTCCTCATAACTAACACAATGAAAACATGATGTAAATATAGGACTCACTGAGCAGAGTGATCTCTTTACTCTTTTTGCCTGTTCGGCAAAAAATCAGAAATCAAATCACTAATAGACTTGCGCTGATCTTGAATAGACTGCTCCAGCGATTATGAAGAGAGCGATCTTTGATCTCTTTTTGTGTATCGAATAATCACAATATAGAGAAATGAATATAGAGTAAACCACTATGTGACAAAGAACATCTGTATATAAGCCCTTATGTATTACACCGATCATAGGTCATGCTGCTCATGAAATGCATTTTGCATTTAGATTTTTATATTGTGTTTCTCAAGGTTAGTTTATAAAGCTTGCAAGTTTTTTTTCCAGCAAAAAAGGTATTTTGTTACCTGATGGCAGTATCGCTCTTGTGATTAATGAACTAACATGAATTGTGCAGAACACACCATATGTGACCCTGGAGCACAAAAACAGTCTTAAGTCGCTGGGGTATATTTGTAGCAACAGCCAAAAATACATTGTATGGGTCAAAATGATCGATTTTTCTTTTATGCCAAAAATCATTAGGATATTAAGTAAAGATCATGTTCCATGAAGATATTTTGTAAATTTCCTACCATAAATATATCAAAACTTAATTTGTGATTAGTAATATGCATTGCTAAGAACTTCATTTGGACAACTTTAAAGGCAATTTTCTCAATATTCTGATG